AATAAAGTTCACTTAAAAAAAGAATTTCACAGGAAACACGAAGCTGTTTAAAATTATTCCGCCTAAACAAACTCATTCAGTGATGAATTCAGGTTGAATAAAATGCTAAAATCCGGCCTGATTTCAAAGCTTTACATGAATTATTCTATAGAAAGGAAAAGATGGACAGAGTAGGGAGGAAACGGCCCAGGACGGAGTCCAACCCTGACTCTTCCGGGGGGGTTTCGGCACATGGGTCCCCCTCTGAACCAGACTCACAAATCTCCTAATCCTAACTTTGTTTCACTAAATAATTAAGAGAGGAAGTTCTGATTGAAGGCTCAAATACAGGCTGATTTCAGCGCCTGCTGTTTGAATGGAGCGCAGTGCAGTCCTGTCCTCTGTTTGCTCTTTGTTAGCTTACATCTCCAAAAAGTCCTCACAATCAGAAACGTCCCGCAGAGCTGTGATCAGGATCCTCCCTCAGAGGGACACTCACCTGTCCTGTGCAGCTTGATTTCGGGTTTCCAGGTGATATCCAGCAGTCTGTGCTGACGGTCGATCTCTTCCTCGTACTGGACGATCGTTTTTTCAAACTCCAAGAATATTTGTTCAGCAGCAGCAGTTAGTCGCTCGTTGATAAACTCTCTCAGATACTGAACGGAAGGCATTGTTACTGACACAGCTCACACATAACACGACACGACAAACTCTCTGTTCGGTCACACACGTGGGAAGCTAACTGTATTAGCGCCTTTCCTTTGTTTTCTTCCGCCTGGTGTCACGTGGTGAGCTTCCGGCAGAGCACAGGTGTTGCCTTTAGTTCCTATGTGTACATTTTTAAACTCACCGTTGCAGTAAATGAACAGATTCTAAGCAGCAAGGCTACAGTGCGAAGAGAAAACAGATCCACAAAAAAATTAAACTGTTCAAATTAAATTTAATATCCTTTTGCCATAACCATCGTTTGATAATGTGAGCTTTAGTTTGATGATGATGAGAGAGCTCAGAGGAGAACGATCAGACAGGTTGGAGCTGACAGAAAGAACAGCTGTGAACATCAGATCAACATTTATCCTCTGAAAACATGAAAAACTGTCAAACAGTTAAAGCTGATGAGCTCCAGTGGTATCAACAGGATCCTGGATCAGCTCCTCGGTTCCTTCTCCTTATCACTGATAGGAGTGAGCCGAGAGTGGTGAGAGCAACCCCCCCAAACGCTCGACTGACTGCTGCACTGAACAAGGAGAGAAATCGAGTCAATCTGGAGATCTCCTCTGCTGCAGTGACAGACTTGACTTTTCTAGCTGATCCTGAGTATAATGCTTATTATTTCCTTCCTAATCTTGGCTTTCAGCAGAGTATTAACTGTGTTTCTAGATTTTCTAGTTTTACACACTGAAACACACAGTGCCGAACACTTCAAGCCACATTCACCTATTCACACACACTGGTGATCGACTTAA